AACCCCCCCTCCCTTTTTGGGAAAGGAAAGCCCAACCTTCCTTAACAACATTTTTAAATCTCCCCCCCCCCCCCAATCCCCCCCCCCCTCCCCCCGGCCCCGTCCCTCCCGGGACAGGCGCGGCCCGCTGCCCGCCCTCCGCCCCAGTCGCCGTGAGGATGTCGTACTGCTGCAAGGCTGGTTGGGGGACATGTTGCAGCAGGTGGCGGCGGCGGGGGCGGCCAGGCAGCAGCAGGCGGCGTTTCAGGCGGCAGTGGCGGCGGCGGCAGCGGCGGCGCCGGGGACGGCGGGCGCCTCCGCTGCGGCGGGGGCGGTTTCGGAGCCTGGAATTGCGGCTCAGCATGCTGCTGAGCTGGCTGACGCTGCGCTTTATGTGGTTGGGGTTGCCCTGGAGGAGCTCAGGCGGCAGGTGGCGGCGGAGTGCAGGGTGGGTGAGAGGGTGGGTGCGTGGGGGGGTGGGGGCGATGTGGGTAGATTTAGTTTATTCTTTGTGATGGTATGTAGGCATGTATGTATGTATGTTTTGTTTGTATGTATGGATGTATGGATAAATGAATGAATAATTGTCGACTCCGACCGCGACCTACCACAACCTAGAACCCGAGCTCCCACTAAGTCATGATCATGCACGTGAATTGACCTCTTTCCGACGGCCCTACATACATACACACATACATACGCTCAGGATCGTGGAGAGCTGTTGGGCCATTTGGTGGAGCAGCAGTCCGCCCTGGTGGCGCTGCGGGGGGCGCTGGCGGCGGAGGGGCGGGTGGCGGAGGCCTCGGCGCAGTGGGCGGCGGTTCTGGCGGACCGGGAGAAGGACCGGGAGGGGCTGGCCGCGGGCAGGGCGGCACAGGACGCGCCGGTGGGTTTCGGAGGCTGTGCGTGTGTGTGTGTGTGTGTGCATGTATGTGTTGGTTTGGGTTTTGGGTTTTGGGGGGCCGTGGGGTTGGGGTTGGGGGGGTGTTTGCGGAGATGAGACGTGTGTGTGTGTGTGTTTGTGTTAAAAACCCAAAGTCCCCACCACCACCTCATTCGTCAGTGGTTCGTCTTACCACCACCACACACGCACAAGGCTCCAGCGAGGGAAGTGGGGAGGGAGGGCGCCGCGATCAAAATGCCGATGAAAGAAGAATCTTGCCCGGCCGTTATACCCCTGCAAACTTGCCCTTCTCCCTTCCGTTGACAACCTGATCCCTCCCTACCCTTCTCCTCGTACACCGTACATCGTACATCGTATACGGTACACCAACCCTTGAACACCCGCACAGACACACACGCACACGCACACACACACACGTTCACCCGTTCAAACCCCCTATTCCCCCAGTCTTCTCCTCTGCGCCGTCCCCTTCCTCCTCCACGACTTGCTTTGCACACCCTGACATAGCACATGTACACCATGTTCATTTCGTGCTGTCGTACTGCTGTCGTACTGCAGGAAACGGAGGGGGCTTCCGTTTCCGTGGCCAGCAGTTTGGCTGCCCAGCTGGTTGCTGCCCACCACGCTGTTGAGGCGGCAGAGCGGCGGTTCCAGCTTGCCGATGCGGCCCTGGCGGGAGAGGCGGCCCGGAGGGCGGCGGCCGAGCAGCAACTGGAGGCGACGAGGGAGCTGCTCAGGAGGTGCGTGTGTCTGCGTGTATGTTAAACCCTAAGTTACAAATAACAAGTTACAAGTTTCGCACACAAGTGCGGGTGTGTCCGTGAAAGCCGGGGGGGGCCATGGACGTTGTATTGGTATTGATGCGGGTACGCGGGAGGCCATCTTCATCCTCCCTCGTCCGCTTCAGGGCGAAGCGCCTCAGTGCGACGTGCCTGGCCTCCCAAATTTCCGAGAGGTACCTGGCCCATGCCAGGGGTGGCGCCTCAGTCATAATGGTGCGCATGCTGCGCCCCTTAAAGACTAGATCACCATCATACTTAGCCCGTATGCTCTTGTAAGCGGGGCATTCCTCGAAAACATGCAATTCATCTACAACCGCTCCACAGTCACAAAGCCTGCAGGTACGCGCGGTGCGCTCACGCCCATTAGGCCTATTAACCTCTAACTCCCAACAGCCTAACCGAAAACGCATGAGCACATGATGAAGTCGCTGGGGCATGGTCCCTTTAGTGTGCTCCAACCAATCGAGCCGCGCACCCCTAGGCGGGGCCGCTCCCATCCAGTTCATATAGCGACAAGCCTTGGCTCCGGTTATCCCTATGGGGAAAACCCTATGGTGGTCACCCAAGGTATTCGGGCACTCCCACCGTGCATCAAGCCGCTTGGCAAATACCGTAAGAATGCTCGCAACTGGCAATTTAAGGGTGGCGTAGTACGCTAAGAGATCATTACCGCACGTATTAGTGGGGGGTTCCGCTCCTAAGCTAGTAAGAAAGGCTAGTACCTTGCTTGCCCAACACTCAGTGACGCCCCCAAGTGCCAATTCCAGGTCAGCGACAAATGCCCGGTGACACAGCGTTCCCGGCCTCTGAACCACAGAGTTCCAAAACCTAAGTACAAGATTGGTCCAATGGAACTGGAGCTGCCTCTGCGACAGTTCACGGTAGAGGGAAACCATAGTCGGGCCCCTCTCGCCCCAACGACAGGTCGCATGTATGCACGCTGCTCCTGGACCATGAGATTAGTTATAGCACCCTCGAAACTCACATTTATGAAGTCAGGTCCCCAACCTTGCGCTCCATAAGAAAACACCGGTACAACTAGTGTATTATATAGAGAGACATACATAGCTTGGGGGTGGTAATTCTCTTATCTCGACACAGGGTGCTGAGCCCAAACGTGGCCCGCCTCCCTGCTGTGAGTAGTTGCTTGGTACATGCTGAAAACTTCACTCCTGGGCCATAGTGCAACATGAGATACCGTGCCGTCTCGTTGCCGGTCAGCACCCGCAACTCCGCCCCACCTAACCGGTACTCAGCTTCAATAAGCCGCTTCCGCTCCCGTGTAGTGCCTCGAAAATAAGGACTTCACGCTTGGCGGCATTCGCGGCCATACCCGTCGCATTGCAGTAGGCTTCGAGTAGCCCCAGAAGGCATTCTGCTCTATCGTGCCCTGTCGCTACCAGTGACACATCGTTAACGAAAAGCAGGTTGGTGAGTTCACCGCCCGCCAGGCTAACACTCTGCTCGCGGAGGGTGCTCCATCGGCTAGAGAGGCGTACACGGCAATCAGCATCGCGAGCATCAATGTAATGAGTCCAAAATGGGTTTCGCTAAGGGGCACCCTTGCTTAATACCATACCCTACCGTAACTTTCGGTCTCCTGAATAGCGGCCTTCCTAGCCTTATTTAGAGCGGACAGCACTGGTATCGCCAGCACAGGACATAATATTTCTATATGGATCATTGCTGACATCCAGATTCGAACTGGAGACCTCCCGCTCACTAAACGGGTGCTCTATCCAACTGAGCTATGCCAGCGATGTAGACAGGTGTGGGTTTTCTGTATCTGTTGCTGCATATGAGGAGGGGGAGAGGGAGAGGGAGAGGGAGAGGGAGAGGGAGAGAGGGAAGGGGATTACATCCTTTGCAAGGAGGGTCAACTGCGGAGGAGCTTTTAGAGGGGGGAAGTTTGGGGGGGAAGCCGGTAGGGGGTGGAAACTGCGTGGGCTGGGAGGGGGGAAGGGAGGCGGGGGAAAGGAGCAGGCGATGTGGTTCCAGCTGCCTGCATTAAAGATTCCGGACTACGTTGAATTGGGACAAGTCCTTGCACCCCTGCACTCTTGGCAGGCTTTAAAAGCAGTGGGGAGAGAAACAAACTAAGGGTTCTTCAAATATGGAACAGGCAAATACTGATGACCGAAAGGGCAGCAGTCCAAAAAGACGCAAAAGGAAAGTTCTACCCTGCATATAAAGAATGCGAAAACACTTGCAATAAAGCAGCATGAATGCCACAATGTTGCTTCATGCAGCCTGCATGGATGGAGTCCACCACACAGCATTGTAAAACACAATTGCCAATGTTATAGCATTCCGTTGCCCCGTTCATCTGGGGGACTTGTAACTCTGTTGCCACCGCCACCTACGCTGCAGAGAAACATGGCGTATCCTCCCTCTTGTCGGCAGTTGCCCCTCTTTGCTACCCACGTTATCATCGTCATCATATGATTGATTTTCCCCTTCCCCTCTCTGCCGGGGGAGGAGGAGGGGAATAACAGCCATACCCCGCTTATTCCCCACTTTACACAACCCTTCATCCAACCCCCGGGCCCTCCGCAGACAAGAGCACGAGTGGCTGCACCACCGCGCCGTCAACCAGCGGTTAGAGAACGAGGTCCAGGGGCTGCGGGATAAGCTGGAGGCGGCCACCCGCACCGCCTCGGTGGCGGAGGCGACTGTGGAGGCGGCACGGGAGCAAACCAGGATTGGCAGGGATGACGTAAGCGTTTGGAGGGAGGGGGGAAGGGGAGGGGGGAAGGGGAGGGGGGAGGGAGGCGGGGAGGGAGGGAGGGGGGAAGGTGTTTGACACTTAATCGCTGACTAGGCGCTGACACGACAGGAAGCGGCCTGAGGGATAGGAGTAAAGGGGGGTTTTAGGGTTTGGCATCAGGCATGGGAAGCTGTGCGCGTGTGTGTATTTGTGTGTATATGTATGCGTACGGCTTCCTACGTCCCCTTCTCCCGCGTTCGCCAACCCCGCGTCGTTCCCCTGGCAGTGCGTATTTCCCCCCTTCCTCATGTCCCCTTCCCCCCTCCCCTCCCTCCCCCTTCCCCTCCTTTCCCCCCTCAGGTCTCCCAGCTGGAGGCCGCACTGGCCCGCATGCGTCAGCAGTACGAGGGCAACGAGATCCTGGTGGCCGCCCAGCGGCAGCAGATACGGGAGCTGGAGGCGGCGCTGGCGGCGCTGAGGGACCAACACAGGGAGCAGGCGCTGGCGCTGGGGAAGGTGTGTGTGGGGTGGAGTGGGGTGGGGCGGGGTGGGGGGTTTCATAACTTCGTATGCCCCGGAGAAGGAATTGAGGTGAAACAGGCGGTACGACAGGAATGGAAAATGAGAAGTCGCGAGGAAGCTGAGCAAGCACGCAAGTGTCACGTGCACGTGCACAGCCCGGGCAGCCTCCATGGACCGGATAGGACACGCACACACACACACACTCTTTCCGCTGATCTCCCCCAATCATCCCCCCCCCCCAAACCCCGTCTCCTGGCCCCATGCCTCCTATCCCTCCCTTTCCCCCCACGCCACCCCGCCCACACACACCCACTCCCCCCCATGCACACACCCCCAACCCCCAACCCCCCAACCCCCCACCGCAACCACGCAGGTGGGCAAGGTGACTGAGAAGTACGAGGAGACGGTCGCCGACCTCCGGGCTGACCTGGCGGCCCTCCAGGAGCGTACGGCGGAGCTTGAAGCGGATTTAGAGAGCCGTACAGCCCGTCTGTCCGAGGTGGAGGAGCGGCTGGCCACGTGCGACGCGGACTTGTCCATGGTTCGCTCCCAGCTTGTGGCCACGGAGACGGAGGCGGCCAAGGCGGCGAGTGAGGCGGAGGCGGTGCAGCGGCAGATGCGGCACGAGATCACGGATGCTGTGGCTGCGAGGCGGCAGGAGGAGACGAGGAGAGTGGAGGTGGAGAAGGAGGTGAGGGAAAGGGGGGGGAGGGGAGAGAGGAGGGGGCGAGGGGTAAGGGAAAATACAACTGGATCGCGACTGGGGTTGTTATGCGGTGGGAGGGAGCTGGGTGATGAGGGCTGCGCGTGTGTTGCTGTGCTTGTTTGCTGTGTTTGTTTGTTTGTTTGTTTGTCTGTTGGTTGGTTGGTTGGTTGATTGATTGTCTTTTTGTCCTTTAGGCATTAGCGGTTGCAGTAGCAGTAGCAGTAGTCTATGTCCCCTTCTCGTCATCCCTTCTACTCCATTACGGTGCCCTCCACCTCCTCCCTCTCTCTCCCCCCTCTCCTTCCCTCTCTCTCTCTCAGCCCTCAGTCCTCCCCGTCAAATGCTCTACCGTGACTGTCGCCCCCGCGTCAGAGCCTGCTCGTCTGAAAACACACAGACATACACACACACCCCACTCTTCCCCCCTTCCTGACCCCTTATCCCCTCCCCTCTTTCCCCCCCCCCTTCTTCCCCCCTCCCCCTCCTTCCCCCCTCCCCCTCCCTCCCCTCCTGCCTCACAGACCACCGCCATGGTGGAGCTCACCAAGGTGCTGGCCCGCACCATGCAACTCCAGGGAATGGACGGCGTGCCGGGAGTTGGCGACCGCTCCTGGGAGGCCAACGGGCCCCTGGGGGCGGCACAGAGGGTCCTGGGGCTGGCCGCACAACACGTGGGGACGTTGTACGGCAGTAAGGAGGATCTGACGCGGGATCTCCGTACGGTGCAAGTGAAGCTGGCCGAGGAAAAGGAAGTGAACTCCAAATTGCAGGTGAGCGGGGTTGGGAGGCTGGGGGGGAGGGAGGGTGGTGGTGCAGTGTAGGAATGGCCGGGCGGAACCCTTCCTAAGGCCAACTACCCTACCTTACCCTACCCTACCCTACCCTACCTTACCCTACCCTACCCTACCCTGGCCCGCCTGACAAGACAAGGCCGTCGTGCACGTGTAGCCTCTGGGCATATTCAGCGAAGTTCACCCTCCCCCCCCAATACCCCTACGCGCACGCGCACACACATTCACACATTCACAAACTCACACACGTACACGGCTGCGCGCCCGTCCGCAGCGCGACCTGTACGACGCTCGTACCACCGAGACTCGCATGATTCGCGAGAAGGAGGTGTTGGAGATGAAGGTGGCCAACCTTGAGCACGACTTGCGTTCTTCTCAGAGTGACGCCACCCGCAGCAAGGCGGCTGCACAGGACAGCGAGGTGAAGCTGAAGATGCAACATGAGACTATTGTGGCGCTGCAGGCGCAGGTAAGGTGGAGGTGGAGGTGGAGGTGGAGGTGGAGGTGGAGGTGGAGGTGGAGGTGGAGGTGGAGGTGGAGGCCCTAAGAGAAAGAAGGAGCCGCCGGTTGATGGAAAGAAGAGAGGGGAGGCGTGTTACGGGGAAAGGGTTGAGGTATGATAGGAAAAACACGCGTTTTGATATTTGCGGGTGGGAGATATTGGAGAGCTTGGGAAGGGTGTTGAGGCCAGCGAGCCGGGTAAGGTTGAAACGGAGGGGGAGGAGGAGGACGGGTTGGTGGGGAGAAAGGGAAGGGAAAGGAGGGGTGTGTGCCATGGCGCACAGCACGTGTGTTTTGTGCGTCGTACGGACTTATGATGTGTGAGAGACATGACGGGTGATTAGCTGAAGGGTAAAAAGGTGAGGTGAGGTGAGGTGAGGTGAGGTGAGGTGAGGTGAGGTGAGGTGAGGTGAGGTGAGGTGGGGGCTGTCAGCCCTAAGCAAGGATATAGGCCGGATAGATTTGCATTCCTTCCTAGCCTCCTCCCCCTGCCCCTTCCCTCCTCCTCTCCCCCTCCTCCTCCCGGTCTACGGGACTCCAACCACACCCCCTTCCCCCCCCTTCCCCCCTTTCCACCCCTTCCGCACTCTTTCCCCCGTTTGACTCGTTCGTGGTTCTTCTTCCCCCCTCTCCCCTCCCCCTCTTCCTGCCTGTCAGGCTCGTGAGCTGGTCCCCCTGAAGAAGCGAGTGGAGGCTCTCTCCAGCGACTTGGAGGCCAGTCGGGCGATGGAGGAGGAGCTGCGGAATAGTCTGGACGTCACCCGGCGGGCGCTGGAACAGGTGCGCGGGGGTGAAGGGCAGGAGGAAAGGGGGAGGGGCAAGGGGGGCGAGAGAACGAGGAAAGGGGGGTAGTGGAAGGGGGTGTGTGTGAAAGAAGAAAGGACGGGGTGTCCTGACGTCTCTCGTACGCCCGACTTCCCACTTCAAACCCTCCTCCTCCACTGTTGATTGGAATGGCCCTTCCACAACTGGCGAAAAACACAAGTATTCAAAAAGAAAGCCGGCCAGGAAGTATGTACATTCAAAGAAGCAAAATCGTCACACGCACACACACACATACACACACACAGCCTCGGTGTGCAACTGGGACTGAATCTTCATCATTGCGCCCAACATTGCGCCCAACCTCTCTCCCCCTTCTCTCCCCCTCCCCCCCTCCCCCAGTCTGAGGAGCAGAGTCGCTACTACCAGAACGAGGTCCACAAGCTGCAGCACGAGGTGGGCTGTCTGCAGGACCAGATCAAGGCCCTGCGGGTGAAGGAAGCCAGGCTGGCGGAGGTGGAGGCCATCAATAAGGACCTGGAAAAGCAGGTACGTGTGTGTGCGGGGTGTGGGTGTGTGTGCGGGGTGTATGTTGGGGTGTGTGTGTGGGGGGGGTGCGTTTCGGGGGGGGGGGGGAGATTGTGTGTGTGGGGAGAGGTGAGAGATTCGGGGACCGGAGAACCCGTCTAGGGGGTGGGGGTGTGCTGGGAGGGGATGACCAGGAAGTGGGGAGGGGGAAAGAGGGGGAAACGTGGGGACGGGGGGGAGAAGTCATGGCAAGGTAATGGTGTGTGTGTGTGTGTATTAGAGGGGACGGGTGGAAAAAGGATATTGGAGCGTTACAGAATCCGGGGCCTGGGGTAGGTGACGGTGGGTTAGGGGCGCCGTACGTGTGTGTACGATGTATCTTGTATTGTAATGCTCTGCAGGGCGTGATTCGGGGCAAGTCCGAAGCGGGGCTTTGGGGTTTTATCACTTTTGGGTTTTATCCGCTTGACATTTCCCCCCCCCCCCCGCCGAGGAGGGGGCCTCGGGACACGGGAACCCCCCCCGCCCACGCCAGCCCTCCAACCCCCCTTCAGTCGCCAAAGATCCATTCGTACTTGTATTCGTATTCGCACTTGCAGTCGTACTAGCCCTTCCCCCTTGACACCCCTCAGCTCAGTTCATAAAGAGCCCTCAACACCCGTCCCAAGCACCCGTCCCGCGCACTTCCTTTCGCCATTCCCCCCCCCCCGCAGGTGTTGAACCTGCGTCACCAGCTAGACGTGACGGCGGAAAGCCACACAGACACTATCCGACAGCTGGAACTGGCCAAATTCTTTTTGCAGGTAGGGGAAGGGAGGATGGGACACACACACAGAAACAGACAGACAGACAGACAGACAGACAGACAGACAGACAGACAGACAGACAGACAGAGAGAGAGAGAGACAGACAGGCAGACAGACAGACAGAGAAACACAGAGAGAGACAGACAGGCAGACAGACAGACAGAGAAACACAGAGAGAGACAGACAGGCAGACAGACAGACATGCCTGCGTGCTGACCGCCGGAACCCCTCCTTGCTCCTTTTCGCTTTCCCCGCGCGCCAACGCTGGCTCCGGCTCCGGCGCTACTGTCGTACATTGTGTAGGCCTGGTGTACGACACCCACTGCGGTCGTTAACTTCTTTCGTCCGTTTCTAACCTTCTTCTTCTTGTTGTTCTTCTCTTAAAGGGGAACAAGTTCATAGCTCTCTTTTTTGCCAAGAGTTCCAAACACATATATACGCTTGTGCACGCACACCTGACCAACCACCGGTACGCATATTTCCCCCCTTTTCCCCCCCCTCAAAAACACACACGCAGGGTTTGGACGCCGGTGCCCCCGGTTCCCCCGGCCGTTCCAGCACGTCCACCGCCTCTCCGGGTAGAGATGCTCGGAACATGCTGTCCCCCCGTTCACACTCCCGCTCGCCCAGTCGTACACTCACCATGACGTACAACGCTTCGCAATCTGGCCGGTTCGGCTCGCCGCCTGGCCGGTTCTTCCGTGCTTCCGCGGCTGCCAATACCGGCATCCCCGGCATGCCGTACACCGACGGCGCTGCGTCCTTCGGTAGCACAACCGGCGGCACCGCCAACGTCGGTGTCGGCAGCGGCGCCATCGGCGGCGGCCTAGCCAGCGTCGGCGTCGGCAGCGGCAACGTCGGTGCTGCCAGCGTCGGCACTGGTAGTGGCAACGTCGGCGGCGTCACCGTCGACAGCGTCGGTGTCGGCAGCGGCAACTTCGGTAGCAGCGGCGTCCATATCGGCACTGGTAGCGGCAACGTCGGCGGCATCAGCATTGACAGCGTCGGTGTCGGCAGCGGCAACGTCGGCGGCGTCAACATCGGCGGCGTCAGCGTCGGCGTCGGCAGCGGCAACGTCGGCGGCGTCAACATCGGCGGCGTCAACATCGG